TAACAAAAATAAAAAATATTTTGATTTATAGGAAGCTCCGAAATTACCAAATGGAGCATATGAAGGGAGTGCACTAACTAAAGCATGCGGGAAACTATTACTCCTACAAAGTATGCTAAGGAAGTTACACTCGGGTGGTCATAGAGTGCTTATCTTTTCGCAGGTAAGTTATGAGAATAAATTATTTGCATTCTGTTTTGTAAATTAAGTATTAATTTTTATTGTAATTATTTTGAAATTTTTGCATGATACTTAATTGCTAATATACAGCAAAATATAAAATATATTCCATATACAGTATATCATATCCGTGATTAGCCAAGGTACAGTTTGAAGTAATTCAGCATTGAAACTTCATTATGATAAAAAGGAGATATTACAACTTATTATATTTGTTACTTCATATTTAAGAATAAAATATAAATTTTGGATTTAATTTGGGTAACCAATGAGGTTTTGATCTACTGTGCCAATGCCTACTATTTTTTTCATTGTAAATAATCATACAAATTTAAACTAATTTTAAAGAATATTTTTAATATCTATTCTCTGCTTATATTTTTTATTATATTATTCAAAATTCTCTATATCTTTATAAGAATTTTGTGCTTTTCTGTATGTTATTGATTGATTATATTTTTTTAATTACAGATGACTAAAATGTTGGATATCTTAGAGGACTTCTTAGAACACGAACTATACAAATATGAAAGAATAGATGGAGGTGTTACAGGCACTCAACGACAAGAGGCAATTGATAGATTTAATGGTAAGAATTAAATGTAGTTAAATTTATATAGTAAAAATACACGGTAGAGGACAAAGGCAAAGCTGCTGCATTAGATATCTATTTATTAAAAATAACAGCAGTATATTTGCTTTGAATTACGTAAAGTTGTTTTAAATTAATAATAGTTTTTTGGGAATGAGATTTAAAATATAATTCTAGGAGGAAATGACTACTACATGCAAAGTATTTTGAATATAATACTGTTTATTTATGAAAGATGGAAAATGAAATTGAATAATGCAGAAAAATTGGAAGAAATTGATTAGTTTTGTCTGTAGATTTTCTCCAGCATCCTAGCTTTTATCTTGTTGTTCTGTTACCAAAGATTGGACAGCTCTGGGTAGCAAAATTCAGAATGCATATTTATGGTAAACAGGTATTTGAAGTTTGAGTCCCATTTCTCACTGCAGATTGATCTTTTACTTCAAAATACTCTGAATTGATTAAATTCTAATTATTAAATTACAAGATGGCAACTTTATTTTGGTTCACATTTTGTAATATTTGTGTATTTAATTGGTTAAGTTATAGTCTGATGGCTCTATCATTTGATTATTAATTTAATTTAAACTTAGTTTTACATTTCATTATACTTTGAGAAAGTTTCTTTTACAGTAATTCTGTGCATTATCAGATACTTTGATGATGTATTATTGTTGAAACTGGAATGAACACCAATACAATACGTTTTATAATAGTTATAAAAATTTTTGATTGAAAGCATTCATGTGTATTGTCTTCTTTCTGATGAATAAATTTTAATAAAGTATTTTGAAAAAGTTATAACACAGAATGTTAATATAAAAAATGTTTATAATTAAATAACTGAAGTTTTTTTTAAATTAAACAATTCTATTTTACTGGCCACTTTATTAAATCAAAATGTTTACATTGTAATCTTAAGTGAATGTGTTTTTAAATTCAAATACACAACTTTTTCTAAGTTTAGAATCATTTACATTTATTACTGTAAAAATGTATGAAAAGTGTTAAATTTTAAAATCATCTATCAAGTTATGATAAATTTAGAAAAAATTGGAATACAACTGACACTGACACACAAAAAACACCTTATGTACTTATTCCATTTGGAGTAAGTACGTAAGGTGTTTTTTATTGTGTCAGTGCCAATTGTGAACTATTTCAGTGTATTGATTAATTAAATAACCAGAATACATTAAAATTATACATGATTGTTTGGACTGTAGACCTGTAATGAGTATTACAAAGATACAGTGGTGCCTCGTATAACGTACGCTGCAAACAATGGACTTACTGTTTGGCCGTTACATGACTCGAGCAACGGACTGGCTGCAAACAACAGACTTTCTGTTTGGCAGTTACATGAGGCGAACAACTGACTTTCTGTGAACAAGTGCGAATGATGTTTCCCCTCATTTGCCAATGACAATCTGCTATTTTTATAATATATTATACTAATAATATATTCTAATAATACTATCTGAAGTACAGAGCTCCCATTGGGATTTGGCTTGCTCCCTTGTTTATTACATACATCACCTCAGTGCAGGGTATTTACATTTATTCAAGTGTTGTGCAAATCATGACTTCTAAAAAAACAGAAAGGTGATTTCAATTGAAAAAAAGCAAGAAATCATCAGAAGGAGTGAAAGTTGACAAAAACTTCCTTGTCAAATGGGGAGAGGTTCAGGAGTTTACCAACACTTATTATCCAAACAGAGCTGAGGCCAACAGGATCTCTACAATGATACCCTTGCCCATCATTTCCGACAGGTGTTGAAAAAAAGAGAGAAACAGACCACCCTGGACATGATTTTCAAGAAGCCAGCTGCCAAAAAACAAAGGATGGAACAAGAGGAGTTGACCCTGCAAGCTTCAGTAGATTCTCCTGAATCTGACTTAGATTAAAAAACAATAAAAAGAAACCTGCTGCAATGTGTAAAAAGTCTGTATCTGTGTGAAGAAAGTGTTTCTCCATCTCCTCCTCCTCACAACATTCGACTATCCGGCATAATTGGTGACTGCTCCATTTTCATTTTTTTATGGTACAATGCAGTTATTTTATGCTGCGGAATGAATTATATGTTTTAACATGTATTTCTATGGGAAAATGAGTTTCGTATAACGGACTTTTCACTTAACGGACATGCACCTGGAATGGATTAAGTACGTTATACGAGGCACCACTGTATATATTATACTGAAATGATGATAGTGCCCACAAAGCTGTATGTACAGTACATACAGCCTGTTAATTTTTTGTCATAGCTCTGCTATCTTACTGATGCACAGTTACAGTTGTTGAAATGGAGACAATGTCCAGAGATATAGTCTCAAGGAAATTTGTGGTATTATCTAGTTTCTTTGAGCAAAACATCTGTGACAAAGTTGAGATGGAATATGCAGAAATATTACCAAATTATTGACCATATAGTTCAGACTGGCAGTAAGTGACATTGTTTGGCCCAAGCTTTTGGTGGTTGCCAAGTTCTAAGTAACATGCAAAATATTTTCTAATTACAAAATTTCATTGCCTTTGCAAGACAAAAAAATTGGTGCATTTTAAGGTAAGCGTTTGAATTATCTAGGAGACTAAGTGGGGGAAAATAGATTTTTATTCTGATTCTGTCTTATTTCATGTGTTAGTGTGAATAAATTGCACATGACTAAAGTCTACTTTCTAATTTATTATTTTTTTTCCAATAAACTCTTACAGGTTTTTTGAGGCATATACATGTTTTATTATTTTTAAAACACAATAAATAAAATTATTCTAGCTGCTTGTTTTTCACATTTAATAAATTTATGTATTTAATATTTCAAAAATATATTAATGCTTTAATTTTACTTTAAAAACTTATATGTATTAATAATAATGAGGTAAAATTTATTTTGTAGCACCTGGAGCACAGCAATTTTGTTTTTTACTTTCAACCAGAGCAGGTGGTTTAGGAATTAATTTAGCAACTGCTGACACAGTTGTAATTTATGATTCTGATTGGAATCCACACAACGATATTCAGGTATTTAAATTTATGAACTAGATTTTTAGATGATCTAACTATTATCCATTATTTTGTTTTTAAATTGACTTTCAGCAGCAAGTTCTTAGAAGTATTTAAACTCTTTTAATTTGCTTTATTTACTCTTTTGAAGTGAAATTGAAATTGTTTTTAATTTGTTTATTTTAGTTTAAATTACTTTTGTAATTTAAATTATCTTATTTTAGTAGAAAAATTTATTCTATGATAAAGTTTGTGGAACTAAATTATTTCATTTTATCTAATTATATCTATATCTTTTGGAGGATGATTCTAACACAGTGTTACATAAATTTTTGCATAATTATGAAAAATACTATCAAAGTTTTTCATAAATAAAATTTTAATTTTATTATTTTTTTAGGCATTTAGTCGTGCTCATAGAATAGGTCAAGCAAATAAGGTTATGATATATCGGTTTNAATTGCAAATATTTTATATTAGTGAAAATGTGTTAAGGAATGAGTAATTTAGTATATTAATAATGTACAGGGTGTACATAAAGTTAAAGTATTTCAAGTCTGCATCAAAAACTGATTAACACAATTGCATAAAATTTTAGTATGACTTAATGAGGGGAAATTAATGGCCAAAATGAAATTAGTTTCCTAAATCTGTACCAGGGTCATTTTTTGGTGTTTTTAAAATTTGCTTAGGGGTGATGCCTTCATCAGCTAAGCAAATTTTATGTAATATGTCATTGCTCTTATTACATAGCATTATTTAAACAATCTCTATGCACGTGCCTTTTGTTGATAATTCTCTTAAATTAAAATTAGTCCTCATGGTACAATCAGTTAGAACTCCAGATTTCATTACATGTTTTATTACCAGCTAAAAATATTAACCAATACCTGCTACCAATATTTCAACATTTTGGATCCGTAGTGTTTCAATATAAATCTGACTAATGAATTAAGTTTCTTTTTGTTTTTGTTAATTTAGAAAAACCAAAATGTAATATTAAATGTTTAATATTTACAGTTCTTTCGGATACTTAATTCGTATAAAATAAATTATAAGCTTTTATTAACTGGAACACCTCTTCAAAATAATCTTGAAGAATTGTTTCACTTATTGAACTTTCTAAATTCGGGCAGATTCAAGTAAGTTATCAAATTATCTAATTTCTTGAGAATCTTTTTTTTTATGAAATGTTAATTATTTGTGTGTGTTTTATTTTTTTTGTAGTGATCTCCAGGGCTTCTTAAATGAATTTGCAGATTTAACAAAAGAAGAACAAGTAAAAAAATTACACGATTTGCTGGGACCACATTTATTGCGTCGTTTAAAAGCGGATGTTCTAAAGGTACGTTTGCTGTAGTGTTAAAAATGATTTAAAGTTGTATTAGTGAAATTGCACTTACCTTTATCAAATGTTCAATTTAAACTAAAATGTTTAATTCTTTTAGACTAAAATCTTACTTTAGAAATATTTTTAATCTTATGATTTTGCTTCATAATAAAGCTGAAGTATTTTATAGTAGCACATATATTTATGAAGTAACTTGAAAAGTTTAATGTGAGGAAGCAGAGTAGAAAAACTGCTGAATTATAAATATCTTTAAAAAACCAACACTTGATCTTCGTTTGTATTTCATTCCAAGATTAAGTACTGATTTTAATGAACTGAGTAAAGAAACAATTTTGATAAAAGAATATACAGAATGCATATTTTTAAGAAAAATTGTGACATATCTGGATTTACAATAAAAAATGAAACAGGAATGAATAGAAATTATATTTGAAAAAGAAGATAATACATTAATAATGATTGTGAATAGTTGATTTAATTAGTGTAATCAGATCTATTGAGAAAATTTCTCATATATAACAACAACTTCACTGTCATCATTCTTTATCTGACTCAGATATATAATTAGAAAATGTTGGCAATTTTTCTCCATCAAAATATTACAGCTATATGATATATTAAATAAAATATTTATATGGCACTTTCTTGAATTATTACTTATTAACTATAAATTATATAATTTAATTTACATAATGTTTTTACTTTATGTAAATCTTTGTTAGTTGTAATTATAGAATTTTGTATTATTTGAATTCACTCAAATTAATTTTGTCCTTTAATTCTAATTAATTTGTTTTTAGTTATATTAAATACAGCAAAATCCAAATTTATTAGAAACTTCAACATATTTCATAAAATTTATATATATAAACTTTATAAATATTAATAGATAAGAATAATGAAACAATCTTAGAAAATACAGAAAATGCTAATGCTTCTCATCATTAAAGTCATTATCATTTAGAATTTTAATTGTTAGTAGTATAAATACTGTTATAGGAGTGAATCACAGAATTAAGTGCTTGTATGTACATATAATGCTTAAACTCATTTTTAAGTTAAAAAAACTTACTTTTACAAATAAGTTTTGTGTGTTGTTACTTAGCTCATTATAAAATTTGTTAAATTTCAGAATATTCCTGCAAAAAGTGAATTTATTGTCAGAGTGGATTTAACTCCCCTTCAAAAGTAAGTCTTATTTATTTTAAGCTTTTCTTTTTGAAAATATGATGCAATGAAGAAATTAATGTAAATTAGATTAAGCTACTAGTTTTGTCACATAATGTTCGTATTAATACATTAATATAAATTATGTACATTATAATTTATTTTTTTCCTTAATAATCATTTTGAGTTAAATGTTAATGTTATAATTCTCTTATTGCACAATATAAACTGATTGGGAAAACAATTGTTTAATTAACAATTCTTCTGGTAATAATATTTAGAGTTATTGGAAGGGAATCTGCTAGAAAGGTCAAAACTGTTGAATGAAAGTAATTTTATTCTCCTTATAAAAATATCCTTAGATTCAAGTATCGAAATCATCTAAAATTCAAGCAAAGCATTATCATGTTACTATTTAAATTATATATTTTCACAATACATTAGTGTTTACTTTTTAAATTGTTCAAGAATAAAAACAGATTGGCATTGTTCAAGCAATAACATAAATAATTTTTAATAAAATAATTATACTGCAACTGAAAAGTAAAAAACTGGACATTTAAAATTCTTCAGAATTTTCTTTGGAAGATTTTGATTCCAACTGTAGAATTCAAAGTAATATTCTCTAATCAATATTTAATATAGTCTAATTACTTGAAAATTTTTTGGCATTATATTATATTTAATACCATTTAAAATAGCTGATAGATAGAATTGAAAAGTCATTTTATGGAACATATTGTGTAGAGGCACAAACTATTTTCATCTGTAAAGAGAACAAGTAAATTTGTAAAAGCATCACCAGATAAGTTATTTTTCTGTTATATAATTATCTTGGGAACATGCATTAAATTATACATGTCATAAATAATCTGATTTCAAATATTACAAATACGTTTAAATTAGTCAACTTCAAATAATTCAAAATAAATAGATTGTATCTTAGTTATACATAAAACAAAATTTAAAATCTATGTTAGTTATAAAACTGTCTTCTTTTGAATTTAGATGTGATTTAAGTGATCAGCATGATTAGTACCATACAAAGTTTAGATTATTGACTGAATAATCACAATGTTTTTCCAATATTAAAATAAGACAGAAAATTAATTCTGTAAAAATTTTAAAATACTTTTAGTTTTTCTATATTTTGTATGTTCATTCTTTGCCTAATACTACTATTAGTATATTATTCCTTGAATATGTTGTAAAATTTACAATGATAGTGTCAAAAATTTATTTCCTCTTTTTATTATAAATAGAAATGCTGAATATTTACTTTATTTATAGGAAATATTATAAATTTATTCTGACAAGAAATTTTGAAGCATTAAATGCTAAGGGTGGAGGACATCAAGTTTCTTTGTTAAATATAATGATGGATTTAAAGAAATGTTGCAATCATCCCTATTTATTTCCTGGAGCTGCACAGGTAAAAGATTTTATTTTTTATTTTGAGAGTTCATCAATAATTATAATCAGTAGCTTATTGTTTAAGTCATTCTGACTTGAATATATATTTCTTAGTTATTTGGATGTTGAATTTTATATTTTAAAACAGTCAAATAAAATTTTAAACAATATGTTTAACCAATCTATGTTATAAGAATGTGTGGTTTAAATCTTATAATCATTGATATGCAATACGTTTAGTTATTTGAACATTTTCAAAACAAATTAAAGTTGTGAATGTTTTTTTAAGTTTTCTTTTTTTGAATAGTTAGTTAGATTTAGATGATAAAATAGCTTAATGTGATTTTAATTAAACTAATAAATGACATTATATTGAGAAAATAAATTGTAGTAACAGCCAGTAATTTTTTAATATAAAATTGGCTTATTTAAAGTATTTGTGCAGGTCACATCAAAAATTTACTGATGAATTAATAAGTAAACAATCGTATCAGCATTTGCTTCTTTCATTATTAGAAAAAACTTTCTAATACTTTCAAATATTACATTGATGATGATTTCAGGGTAGCTCTTTCACATGCCAAATACAGATTGAATGGCTTATTTATATTTGAAACATTGTTTTTTTTTTTAATATAAATGGTTGTTATTGTTGTAATGCAAAAAATAATTTTGCCTTTACATTACTTATATAAATTGGTACTTTTATTTCAGACAGTGTTTAGATTTTTGAGAACTTTGACATTGTCAGAAATGTGCAGAAATAAATAAATATTAAATGCTTTCATTTCTAATTTTTTAAAACATTTTCAGATTTATACTTTTGAATATTTTATGTTAATACATATAAAGTGGGAATATTATATAATTATGCAAATATTTAATAATAATTATAATATCAAAAAGAATCTGAAACTTAGAAGATTGAAAAAACTTAGAAATATAATACGCATTAAAAAATTTTTATATAAAACTTTACTTTTGGTGGTACTGTAGAATTTACTCAACAGTAATCACTTTGGAACTTGTCTATTTCTTTAATAATAATTTTATAAAAAATATTTTGATTTATAGGAAGCTCCGAAATTACCAAATGGAGCATATGAAGGGAGTGCACTAACTAAAGCATGCGGGAAACTATTACTCCTACAAAGTATGCTAAGGAAGTTACACTCGGGTGGTCATAGAGTGCTTATCTTTTCGCAGGTAAGTTATGAGAATAAATTATTTGCATTCTGTTTTGTAAATTAAGTATTAATTTTTATTGTAATTATTTTGAAATTTTTGCATGATACTTAATTGCTAATATACAGCAAAATATAAAATATATTCCATATACAGTATATCATATCCGTGATTAGCCAAGGTACAGTTTGAAGTAATTCAGCATTGAAACTTCATTATGATAAAAAGGAGATATTACAACTTATTATATTTGTTACTTCATATTTAAGAATAAAATATAAATTTTGGATTTAATTTGGGTAACCAATGAGGTTTTGATCTACTGTGCCAATGCCTACTATTTTTTTCATTGTAAATAATCATACAAATTTAAACTAATTTTAAAGAATATTTTTAATATCTATTCTCTGCTTATATTTTTTATTATATTATTCAAAATTCTCTATATCTTTATAAGAATTTTGTGCTTTTCTGTATGTTATTGATTGATTATATTTTTTTAATTACAGATGACTAAAATGTTGGATATCTTAGAGGACTTCTTAGAACACGAACTATACAAATATGAAAGAATAGATGGAGGTGTTACAGGCACTCAACGACAAGAGGCAATTGATAGATTTAATGGTAAGAATTAAATGTAGTTAAATTTATATAGTAAAAATACACGGTAGAGGACAAAGGCAAAGCTGCTGCATTAGATATCTATTTATTAAAAATAACAGCAGTATATTTGCTTTGAATTACGTAAAGTTGTTTTAAATTAATAATAGTTTTTTGGGAATGAGATTTAAAATATAATTCTAGGAGGAAATGACTACTACATGCAAAGTATTTTGAATATAATACTGTTTATTTATGAAAGATGGAAAATGAAATTGAATAATGCAGAAAAATTGGAAGAAATTGATTAGTTTTGTCTGTAGATTTTCTCCAGCATCCTAGCTTTTATCTTGTTGTTCTGTTACCAAAGATTGGACAGCTCTGGGTAGCAAAATTCAGAATGCATATTTATGGTAAACAGGTATTTGAAGTTTGAGTCCCATTTCTCACTGCAGATTGATCTTTTACTTCAAAATACTCTGAATTGATTAAATTCTAATTATTAAATTACAAGATGGCAACTTTATTTTGGTTCACATTTTGTAATATTTGTGTATTTAATTGGTTAAGTTATAGTCTGATGGCTCTATCATTTGATTATTAATTTAATTTAAACTTAGTTTTACATTTCATTATACTTTGAGAAAGTTTCTTTTACAGTAATTCTGTGCATTATCAGATACTTTGATGATGTATTATTGTTGAAACTGGAATGAACACCAATACAATACGTTTTATAATAGTTATAAAAATTTTTGATTGAAAGCATTCATGTGTATTGTCTTCTTTCTGATGTATAAATTTTAATAAAGTATTTTGAAAAAGTTATAACACAGAATGTTAATATAAAAAATGTTTATAATTAAGTAACTGAAGTTTTTTTTAAATTAAACAATTCTATTTTACTGGCCACTTTATTAAATCAAAATGTTTACATTGTAATCTTAAGTGAATGTGTTTTTAAATTCAAATACACAACTTTTTCTAAGTTTAGAATCATTTACATTTATTACTGTAAAAATGTATGAAAAGTGTTAAATTTTAAAATCATCTATCAAGTTATGATAAATTTAGAAAAAATTGGAATACAACTGACACTGACACACAAAAAACACCTTATGTACTTATTCCATTTGGAGTAAGTACGTAAGGTGTTTTTTATTGTGTCAGTGCCAATTGTGAACTATTTCAGTGTATTGATTAATTAAATAACCAGAATACATTAAAATTATACATGATTGTTTGGACTGTAGACCTGTAATGAGTATTACAAANATTTGTGGTATTATCTAGTTTCTTTGAGTAAAACATCTGTGACAAAGTTGAGATGGAATATGCAGAAATATTACCAAATTATTGACCATATAGTTCAGACTGGCAGTAAGTGACATTGTTTGGCTCAAGCTTTTGGTGGTTGCCAAGTTCTAAGTAACATGCAAAATATTTTCTAATTACAAAATTTCATTGCCTTTGCAAGACAAAAAAATTGGTGCATTTTAAGGTAAGCGTTTGAATTATCTAGGAGACTAAGTGGGGGAAAATAGATTTTTATTCTGATTCTGTCTTATTTCATGTGTTAGTGTGAATAAATTGCACATGACTAAAGTCTACTTTCTAATTTATTATTTTTTTTCCAATAAACTTTTACAGGTTTTTTGAGGCATATACATGTTTTATTATTTTTAAAACACAATAAATAAAATTATTCTAGCTGCTTGTTTTTCACATTTAATAAATTTATGTATTTAATATTTCAAAAATATATTAATGCTTTAATTTTACTTTAAAAACTTATATGTATTAATAATAATGAGGTAAAATTTATTTTGTAGCACCTGGAGCACAGCAATTTTGTTTTTTACTTTCAACCAGAGCAGGTGGTTTAGGAATTAATTTAGCAACTGCTGACACAGTTGTAATTTATGATTCTGATTGGAATCCACACAACGATATTCAGGTATTTAAATTTATGAACTAGATTTTTAGATGATCTAACTATTATCCATTATTTTGTTTTTAAATTGACTTTCAGCAGCAAGTTCTTAGAAGTCTTTAAACTCTTTTAATTTGCTTTATTTACTCTTTTGAAATGAAATTGAAATTGTTTTTAACTTGTTTATTGTAATTTAAATTACAAAAGTAATTTAAACTATCTTATTTTAGTAGAAAAATTTATTTTATGATAAAGTTCGTGAAACTAAATTATTTCATTTTAACTAATTACATTTATATCTTTTGGAGGATGATTCTAACACAGTGTTACATAAATTTTTGCAGAGAATTTTTGCATAATCATGAAAAATACTATCAAAGTTTTTCATAAATAAAATTTTAATTTTATTATTTTTTTAGGCATTTAGTCGTGCTCATAGAATAGGTCAAGCAAATAAGGTTATGATATATCGGTTTGTGACAAGGGCATCTGTAGAAGAACGTATTACACAGGTGACTATTTTTATTATTTAAAATAATTAATTTCTTTATCTAGCTCTTCTGAATTTTAGAGATAATTAGATTATCCAGTAGTAATTTTAGTATTTAATAAAATTTCATTACGTGAGGTATAGAGAATAGGAATTATGACTGAATGGAGTTTTCAGAAATATTGTATACTGTTTATCTTCTTAAATTGTCATTTTTAAGTACTAAAATTAGGAAAATGCAATTAATATTGAAAAGGGTGTAGAAAAATTGTACAAGGTACAGCTTCCAAATATATTGATTGACATAAATATTTTGCCATAAATCCATCTTAAAATTACTTCTGGAATGCAGTATTATATTTGTAATTGGAAATTAATTAATTTGCGTTTATTAAATTTGTCCAATTAAATGCATTACAAATAATTTTATTCTGATGTGATCTTTTTTTAAATTGCTTATTCAAAATTTGACATCTTAGAATTTTATTTATAATAATGTTTAGGTGGCTAAAAAGAAAATGATGTTGACTCATTTAGTAGTACGACCTGGACTAGGAAGCAGAGCAAACACAATGTCTAAACAAGAATTAGACGATATATTAAGGTTCGGTACCGAACAATTATTTAAAGATGATGACGGCAAAGGTAAGCTTAAAGGTATTGAATTTTTTCTGTATTTACAACATACACTTAAATTTTGCTAGGGAATTGTCTCGGGAAAAATCTTGTTTTGCATACTGTGTCTAATATACGAGGTCTATTCAAAAAGTTTTGAATAGTGCATTTCCAGTTGGTTATTTTTTAATCTGCTTGGAGGTGTTGTGTCCATGGAAGCCATCTGAGTAACCTCCTTCAATCCATTTGTTGATATCTTGTTTTGGTGATTAGTTATGGCCATTTGTGTGAAGGGGTGTTCTCAGGGTTCGGAGAAAAATTGGATCCACGGAAATGAGCTCTTTGAAGGAGCAGCATTGTTCTGTGAGATTTTGTGTAAAATTCAGGAAATCTTTCGTGGAAACTTTTGAGTTGATTACCAAGTCTTATGGTGAGGATGCTATGAAACTTACTACGTGTTATGAGTGGTTTACCTGGTTCAAGAAAGAAAACAATCAGTGGAAGACAATGAGCATTCCGGGCGACCATCAACGTCAACTGATGACCCCACATCGAGAAAGCGAATGATCTCGTTCATGCAAATCAATGTTTGACTGTCAGGGAAATTGCAGAAGAGTGTGGCATCTCGATTGATTCGTGCTATGAAATCCTGACTGAAAAATTGAGGATGCATCGAGTTGCTGCCAAATTTGTGCTTCGCCTGATGACAGCAGACCAGAAACAACTTTGAGTTCAAATCTGTCAGGAACTGTTTGATCGAGCTGAAGAGGATGAAACCTTGTCCAGGATCATAACAGATGATGAGTCATGAGTTTATGGATATGACATTGAAACAAAAGTGCAATCTTCACAACAGGTGGGTGAAACGTTCCCTGCCCCAAAAAATCTTGATAAGTTCATTCAAATTTTAAGATGTTGTTGACCGTTTTTTTTTTTTTTTTGTGCGAAGGGGGTTGTGCATCATGAATACCTACTTACAGGTCATACAGTTAACATGGAGTACTACCTGAGGGTTATGAAATAACTAAGAGACAAAATCATGTGAAAACGCCCCAAACTTTGGAGGAGCAGCGAATGATTTTTTCCCCCCACAATGACAATGTGCCGGCTCATTCATCCCTCAGAACTCGTGAGCTTTTGGCCAAAAACAAGACCACTGTGCTTCCCCACCCACCGTACTCACCTGACCTAGCCCCATGCAACTTTTTCCTGTTTCACAAATTAAAAATCCTGCTCAAAGGAAAAAAGATTTGCCACCGTTCCAGAGATAAAGAAAAATTTGATGGATGAGCTTACGACCATTCAGGAAGAAGCATTCCAGACTGTTTCAAAAAGTGGAAACACAAAGTTCTGGAACTTTTTGAACAGACCTTATAATTTGCATCTCTTTGTATATATATATATATATATATATTTGGGTGGATGGAACTAAGAATGCTCTATATATGAGAGCTGAAATAACAGAATTTATAAAGCATGGAAAGGTAGTAGTAGGGACGATTTGTTGTAATGTACTAGTCTTGTGATGGACAAAAAACATAAGCCTGGCAGGTACTCTGTGAATGAGTAAGTCTAAAAGGGACATCTCCTCACCTTGTTCTTGCTCAACAGAGAAATTAATTGTTGTATAGATAGAAGATAACATATCTATGAAGATGTACAACTCTTTCTCAGAGTCATCCCAAGCAAACAAGATATCATCTACATCAGCGGTCCTCAACCTTTTTATCGCCACGGACTGGTCAACGTTTGATATTTTACCGTGACCCACCGAGGGGGAACGTTGATTGTTTATATTTTAGATTGATTTAATTTAATAATTTTAATTTAATTGTATTTAAACATGCCTTCAAAATAAAATACAGTTACACCAAAAAATGAATATAATGAGATTTAACATTTTAACTCACTAGATCACTAAATCAATGAGAACCCTGAGCTTGTTTTTTTGCAACAAGACGGTTCCATATGGGTGTAATTGGAGACAATGACACCTGAAGTGTGTTTTTTATGTCCAGTTTATTCCGTTGTTCTGTTGTCCGTTAAAAGTCGCACAAACCCGAGAGAAATATACCATAGTAAATAAAATGGAAATACCAGTAATTTAATGTTCTTTGGATGGCCCGGTACCATTTTATCCACGGACTGATACCGGCCCGGGGGTTGGGGACCACTGATCTACATAACATAGATATACAAATGGGTAGTGAATAGCCAATGGGGGAACTAAAAACTCTAAACTCAACATTTCTCATGATGATAAGTTCTGCAAGAGCAATACAGAGGTGAGGGCCCATAAGTAAACCATGCTTCTATTTGTAAATGGTGCCTCTAAATTGAAAATAATTATTTTATATTATATGAAAATAATTACAATTAAAAAAAAAATGCTTCTCTCATATCCAATACCTGGGGTACAGAGTGGCCAGTCCTAAGGAAAAAGGCATTTGCAAGAATTACTGCATCAAAATGTGGTACAGATGGATTCAAAGATATTACTTCAATCTTATAAAATTGATACATGCTTGTGGGAATAGAGGCAAGTTTATTAATGATGCTTGTCTTGGCATTGAGTGTAGAGCTAGCTACAAAACTAGAAGTAGGCATTAAAGATGTAATAATGTTGGCAAATGTCTTCTCTAAATAAAATGTTGGATGGAAGCACTTTTTAACTGGTGGGCACAGTGGCTATAGCAGTTTGTGTGTCTTGTCATCAAAAAACAGTCTAGGGCATGCTACATTTGATAGAATATTATGAAGACCTGGTAATGAGGTTGGAAGTGTGAGCACCCGAGTCTTTCTTAGGATAGTTGCTGTTGGATCTTCTTGTAAAATTACAGAACTAGATTGCACCAGAAAATCATCACCATTTCAAATAACAAACTTCTTATCTTTGTCTGAAATTAATAACCGTAAACAATTACTGGAAGGAAGTAGTTTAACAAAGTGTGTCTTTTGAGGATCTGGCAATGATGTAACTTGCAAATTCTGCTGTGAAGCAATTTTTGAAAAAGGGACAGCTCCAACTTAGCCTGCAGCTTCACACACTGATTAGTCTTTACAGCAAGTATAATGGGTGGGATTAATTGAGAATAATTCCTCTTTGAAGTAGGAATAAACTTTGGTCCTTGTGATAGGACACCATGAACTCCATCCTGCCCCGATACAGATGTAAAGTTGCAATAATGAACCTCCATCAGAACTCTATGCTTACACCAGGTGGAATTAGACAACCAATGAAATTTGTTGTGTAAGCTCCTCCTTGTTTCATACATTTTCTTGTTGGCACTGTATCTTATCTTGTTTAGCTGTTCACACACACTCTCCAGCCTACACACTTTTGAAAAGGATAAATGAGTTACATAAAATCTTTGCTCAGATTCTGCAATCATCTTTTGCTTGTTCTTAATCAAATTTGTCAAGAGATTCTGCTCCATGTGGGGCAAGAAAGAAGAAACATGCTGCAGGAAAGTGTTGTACATAGTGGAAATACACCTACGGATGAGTCTATTCTTGTGACACCTTAACAGGAACCAAAGCGGTGCCCACTTTCTTAGCCACAACAGTCTGATGTTCATCAACATAAAAAAGCACTTTTTAGGGGTCTCCTTGCTAATAACTGACAAAAACAATTTTCACTTCATGCCTGAATCGTTATAAAGGAGAAAAATCTCACTTAACTGACATTAAAAACGTATTTATTAAAAATTGTGAATACTTTCAAAAACACAGCCTTCATCTCAGGCAAAAAATCAAACAAAAGTTGTAAGAATAAGTTTAAAACTTGTTTAATTTTTGATTTGATGATAAAGGCTGTCTTCGAAAGTACTCACAATTTTTAATAACTGACATTAAAAACATGTATTTAAGTGAGATTTTTCTCCTGTATAATAACTGTTAGGTATAGATTTAATGAAAATAATTATGCTGAAATACTTTGTATTGCTGGTTGAAAAGTACAGGAATAACTGCAGTGCAGCAAGAGAATTTTATTGACCAACTGCATTTAAAAAACAATTAAAAATACAATCAGTAAATTGAATAAGTTTCATTTTCAGATTGATCATTTGAAATAATCTAGTTGTTAAATATTTTGATATGGGTAAGACATTTGAATGGGTAAAAGTTGATGCTTCTATGATTAATTAATTATAGTTATTACATTAATTATATTTTATAGTTAGCAACTTGAAAGTATGAGAATATCCATGAGGCAAAAGTGACTTGTGTATATTTATAAAAATTTGATAAATAAGAAATGTTTGTATAACAGTTATGAAACTATATACAAAATTTTAAATAATCATAATTAATAAATGCTTTATACAAAAGTTGAAATAATTTGCCACAACCGTAGAGAGACATTTTATTTTATAATCTTACCTCAATTCACAGTAAATATTAAATTTATATTGTTTTGCACATTTCAACATTTCTTTTTATTACATAAAAATATAACTGATAATTCAAATTAATAAATTTCTATAATTTCTTAAATTGCATTTGGAGAAATAATATGCAGTGTAAGAAATAAACAAATATACCTTATTACTTCGAATTTAAACTGAACTTTTTATTACAATTTTTAAGGTCTAAAATTAGGGTGCAGTTAAATTCAAAGCAAATATTTTAACTTATTTCTGCCAATTTCCCACTTCTGAACAAGCGGGTCTTTGATTTATAGTCTATACGTGCATGTAGTATTACGATAGTTGATAGCGGTTTATTTGGTGATTTCCCATTTGCACTCTGATTTAATGCCGTTGCTGTTTGATAGCAGCTGTGTAGAATTGGATTTTAATTTTTTTTTGTTACCCATACTCACCAATAATGGAAAAACATTACATATTATGCTGAATTCAAAAGAAAAGTTATATTGTGCATTGAAGAAATTGGAAATTGCACAGCTGGTAAAAGATTTATGGCTGAAGAGAGTGTGCATTGTTGAAGCCATGAAGGAAATGTTTTGTGAAAATCATTCTCCGAGCCTAAAAAAAGGAAGACGCCCTGCAATTGACTCAAATCATATATATAAAATCATATTTATTTTTTTTTCCAATTTTAATTAATTAATTAAACTCCTGCTGCAGTGTAAATTCCAGGGTGGTTTATATTCAAAGTAATATGGTATTGCTATATATATATAATAATTATTTATTTAAATTATTCACTTTGAATTTAATTTGTAACGTTAATAGAATCGGAGTATTAATTTTTGGTGTAGCTATTGTTAATAATGCAATAAATTTTATCTTACAGAGGATCTTATTCATTACGACGAAAAAGCCATTGATGGATTATTAGATCGTACAAAAGAGGGAATTGAACAGAAAGAATTGTGGGCAAACGAATACTTAAGTTCTTTCAAAGTTGCTGCTTATGTAACAAAGGAAGCAGAAGAAAAAGAACCAGAGACTGAAATTTTAAAACAAGAAGTTGAATCGGCAGATCCTGCATATTGGGAAAAGCTTCTTAGGCATCACTATGAACAGCAGCAAGAAGATATGGCTCGTTCTCTCGGTAAAGGAAAGAGAGTTCGTAAACAAGTTAATTATAATGATGCGATGGGACCGCAGGACGATTCGACGTGGCAAGATAACTTATCTGATTATAATTCAGAATTTTCTGTACCATCGGGTAGGTTTTCATTAAAATGGTTCACATAATTACTTAAAATAATATATCATAGTAATATATGAAATGATATACTTAATATATTTTTTTAAGTAAATTAATTTAATTAATGCTGATACAATTTTAATTTATATAAAACTTAAATATGCTACTAACTTAAATACAAAATTCACAAATGTTAATGTTTTATTGATTCTTTATACAGTATCATAAATCTTTAAAGATTAATTGATAAAAGAACAATATTTAAAGTATCTAAATTACTAAACAATGAATAATGAGTATCATTTTGATTTTACTTGCAACTCTGACTTTATATTAGATATTGCATAGTAAATTTAATAATGTTTCCACATCTAAAAGTTAAAAAAAAATTAGTTTTAATAAAAATAATACGTTAGACAAAATGGATATATACATGAAGTAAATTAAAATGTTTTCATGGAAAAACAACAAAATAATTAATAGTATTAATAAACTAGAAATTCTCCCATCAAGCATGATGGAATATTTTTATGAGGAAATAGAGATTGAAGAATTGAGAAGAGCTTCAAGTCAAGCTTGATGTTATGCTTTTCTGCAGCCCTTAACAAAGCCATTTTTACTTGACATTGTTCAAGTCAATGGCCTTCAGGGTCTCAGTTGTTCTTAATCTTTTAGATTTAGAATTTACCTGCCCAATTTTACTCTTGTGCTTTCCCCTAGGCTTTATTTTGTCCAAAAAAAAAAGAATAAGTCTTTTAATTCCGCATTGATTAAACAAAGATTAATTCTGCATATGTTAATTCAATGAGCAATAACTTTCTAAATAACAGGCTTGTTAGGTTGTTTCTTCTAATTGGATAATAGAGCATCATGGGTTCCCTATGGAAAGATTTTTTTTAAAAATTTGTTATAGAAATGACATGGTGCAGTTATCATTTTTAAAGTTTAAATGTGATATAAGGACACCTCAAAACCATAATGCAGTTAAGAGAACAAAAACATTTACTGAAAACAAACTTTTTCAACCTTTATAAAGGCCATCCTTTATTTAAATTTAATGAAGTAAGTTTAAAATATGCTATTTGCCAAAATATGTAAAAATGCAACTTTAGGGAAATTTCTTTGCCAAGCACAAATGTCATATGGTCACTGATGTCACTGCAACATAAGTGTGATCGATTTTGAAATTGATAAAACGTTTTTTCTATAGCTAATACAAACACACGCTTTTATATTAGTAATATTGTGTTTATACACATTTGTGTAAGATCATTGTAACTTCATCTAATCTAATGGTAATGAATTTTTATGACAATCTTATAACTTTTTCATAACACAATTTTTCCATAAAAAATTTAATATCATAGTAATACAGTAGACCCCTATAACATGGTAGATATGTTCCGTGTTATATGAATTCTATGTTGTACGAGTCACTTAAATACATGATCCAATCACAGCCNACTGGTTACATGAAAAGATCCTTACTATGAGGAAGTTTATTATTAAAATATAATTTTATTTTTAAATAATTATGTAGGACCTGGAGATTGTCATCATGCATTACACATTAGCATACTTAATATTTATATTTTTAGTGTTTGTGTGTAAAATTAAATTATTACTGATCTTACAATAATGCTACAAATAGAAAGAATGTGAATCTTCTCTAATATTTCATATTTATTTTAATTCAGTTTATTGCTTTAATCTGTTGCATATTTTTAATTTTATGTTAAATATTGTAATAAAATGTCAAATCCAATTTTTTGTTTTCTTAGGCTGGTTAGAGACTTGCGAGGAAAGTCTGAAAAGAATTTCAAAGCTTACGTTTCTTTATTTATGCGCCATTTGTGCGAGCCGGGAGCAGATAATTCCGAAACATTTGCTGACGGTGTTCCTAGAGAAGGTTTATCTCGTCAACATGTACTTACTCGTATAGGTGTGATGTCTCTTATTAGGAAAAAGGTACGTAGTTATAAATATTTTAATGGAAGTTCCATGCATTTAATTTTATTATTATATATTCAGTATCTGTAATTTAACCAAGTGTATTCATTTTAGTTATGATTTACAAGATCTTTATAAACTAGTTATAATCTGTAGATTTCTAGAATGCAATTAGCAAAGTTAAATATAATGGTTGTTGTAATTTTTATTTTCTGACTAAATTGGCTTATCTTGAGATTTTATTATGACAATGATATGTCAAATTTTTTGGTTTATTATTATTAAATAGGGTTATTAATACACTACTTCAGTTTTTTACCTTCTACTATCATCATCAAGTAGGCATGTAGGAATTGACAATTGAATTGAATTCACAAACTAATGACCAATTATTATTTTCTTGAATTTCTGATGGTTTGTCATTAGGTAAAAACTGCTTTGAAAATGTTATAGAAGCAAACTGCAATTAATTGCTGTATGAAAATACTTGCTGAACTATAATGCAGTTTCTAACTAGATAATCAGCAATTTGAATTGCAAATAAGCATAATAAATGTTTGGATTTATAACTTCACAACACAAATACCAATAAAATGTTACCTAAAACAAAATTTCAGCTATTTATTTCTTTATCCTAGAGATCTATGAGAATCCTCTACTTGTAAAGAAATTGTGGAAACTTGATTTACAAAGTCAAAAATTATTTTGATTTTGGAGAAATTCTATAGGTTTGAAGCATATTCATATGAATGTTAATAAGGTGAACTGATTAATTCAGAAATATAACTGTTTATTTTCTGATAACCCTTTAATATAATTTGAATTCAAATGTAAAAAGTATTTGTATCTGGTATTTGTCAAAATTTCAATATTCTGTGTTTAATTTAGGTCCAAGAATTTGAGCACATAAATGGACTTTGGAGTATGCCAGCAGAAGATCTACAATCAAGAAGTGGTGGTGATGGAAATCAAGTAATTTCCCCAATGATTCCTGGGTTAGGTCAGACAATTTCGACACCAAATGATAGTAAAGCATCGACTCCTGCATCTACTCCCGCACCTACTCCCGCTCCCATAACTGAAGAAGGTGGAAAAGATGAAGAAGATAAATCTATAAAAATGGAAGAAAATGTAAACGTATGTATTTTTAGACTTTGTACTTAGAATTTAGAATAAGAAAATAATTTGATACATCAAAAATTATAAAATTAGATAATACATTTCTTTTGTCAGTAAAAAACTAATTAACAACTTACGTAAACTATACTTAATAATAGCTATTAGAAATTTAAAATTATAAATATTTAAAAGTTAAATTTTTTATTTTTAAGCCTTCTGAGTTACATTAAAAAATATATGTTTAAACATTTATTCACTAAGTAATTAATTTCTACTAAAAGTTAAGTTACAGTTAAATTTTATACAGTAGATGTAATTTTAATTAAATTTATTGTAAATTTTTTTTTTTTTTTTTAGGAAACAAAAGAAATTAATTCAGAAACTGAAGGAGAAAAGAGAGAGACTAAACTTGAAGAGGAGGATTCAGAAGAGAAAGATGAAACAATGGAAATGGAAGAACAACAAGAAAAAGATGGTATGTGTGTATATATTTTTCATGCTACTTTTTACAATTCATAAATTATAATTTTATGAAAATTTATAAGTAGATTATTTTAAAATACAGTAGAGCGTCGTTTATCTGAAAGAATTCCAGTCGGCAAGTTTAAATTTTCACTAGTGCTGTGGCACTGCAATCTTTAGCTATATCTTGGGCTACTCCAATATTTTTTTTTGTTGATGTGTGTGTGTTTTAGCTGGCAGCACTGGCACTTTTGTGTGGTGTTTTTCTGAGGACTGTGTGTCGTGCTGAATTGAACGTTTTTGATACTAGATTAACTTCTAAAGTAT